ATCTGTAAATCTTTCACGTATCTGTAAATCTTCCACGTATCTGTAAACCTTCCACGTATCTGTAAATCTTTCACGTATCGGTAAATCTTTTATGTATCAGTAAATCTTTTGCGTATCGTAAATCTTTTGCGTATCTGTAAATCTTTTGTGTATCTGTAAATCTTTCACATATCTGTAAATCTTCCACTTATCGGTAAATCTTTTACGTATCAGTAAATCTTTCTGAACAGCTGATTGGACTTAGTTTTCTGTCAGTCATTGTTTGTGGAAGAAGGAAGATTTTCTTTGCTCAGGGAAACGTGTTTCCAGTTGTGCACATGACAAACACGTTGAATCCTTCCTGAAACTCCCTGAAGACCTCAGCCAGATTCGACAAAGACCGTCCTCATCATGGAGAGTGAGGTGGGCCTTAAACAAGCCATGGGCATTGAAATTAGGGCCACTCAAGTGTCAACAGGGATATTTTTCTGCTGTCAGGTAGTGACATCTTTACCAGTGCTTTCTCTGTGTGGACCTTGTCCTGATGATGATGCACAAGCTGTACCTGCTAGCAGTGTGTTAGGATTGCTATAGCTAGCAGCACAGCTTCATAATTTCATAATGAGGAAGAGTCTAAAACATTTAAGATCATTAACCTCTTGAAAGAGCAGCTGGACAGCAAAAACTGTGCTAGTAGTAAAGTGGAATAAAAAAATGACTCTTTGACTACAGAGCTGAAAATGTGAGAGGGTATATTGGCAGAGCAATAGGTTTTCTGTGGGCTCCTCAGATCCAGACCGGGTCATGGCCATCAGTCTTCAGACCGAAACCCCAATAAAAACGTCTCCAGTGTAATCAAGAAGTCACCAAACAGCTGAGACAATTAAAACAAAGTGGTAGACAGTATGTCGAGACACATGAAAACTGGGATTAAAAATCAGTTATTGGCCCAAATTCTGATTTCTGAGCTCTACCCAAGTTATAACAATAATATTGTGGGAAAAATGAATATTGTTTCCTTTGCACTGAGCTGTGAAAACACTGAATCTTTGAGCTTATTCTGACTATTTATCATGCCTGCAAATGAATGACAAGATTTCTGCAAGAAATGTCAGCAGAATAAAACAGAGATATTCAGTTTATTCCAAATAGTACTAATACACAGTAAAATCTGAGAAGAAGAAAAAAAAGCAGGTAAATTAGCAGTGGTTCCTTATTTACTTGTTCCAGGGCTGTACATTTACGGTGCTGAGACTAAAGTGAGAGATTTGTCAAACTGAATATCAGAACTCGTTACATGAAAGTCAGTTGTTTTTTTTTTGTCTCTCTTGTTAGAACTAATGTCAGGCTGCGAAATCCTCTGCACTACAACACCACATGTCTCACTGAATCTAAAGCTCATGAGTAAAGTCCTACGTGCGTGTGTGAAGTCAGATACTGCACGTACCTGAACCATAAACCAGTTTCCTCAGATTTGGAGCAGCTTCTTGTTGCCGTAGAAAAGTGTCAGCTGCTTTCTGCTGTAGTCCTTCCTTCCACCTGAGAGTTCCTGTGGACAAAACCAAGAAGCGTTGTACAGCATGCTCAAGAATTTTTTAAGTAGGAGGCTAACAGCTCATAGTAGTAGTTTATTTTATTCATTTGTTTAAATGGAATAACAATAGTCAGGGTTTGCTCAGGCTATATGTGATTTTTAATATGTATATAATTGTCTTTTTTTTTAACAAATGTCAAGCTCGTATAGTGGGACTACTTCACCAAGGTTCTTGGAGAAGTAAAATTAATGTTACATTTATCCTGATGCATGCTCAATAATCCAGGGAGAAAAATAAAAAAAAGTTAAATCTGGTCCTCTGGACATTCAAAAAAACAAAACAAAGCAAATCAACAAAAAAAATGTAGAAACGTTTCGTCTCTCATCCGAGAGACTTCCTCAGTCTGAGGTGCTGTATTCAGCTCAGTCTCTTAAATAGCACCGTCTCAGAGTGGATCAACCAGTTTTGCTGCCGACAACCAAAACCAGCTGATCACTTGCTCAAGAAGGACCATCAGCCTAACAATGGATCATTAGCACACTGATGGCTGTTTACTGCTCACAGAGGGCTGAGTGATACTAGCAATCACAGCATTGTAAGAGGGGGACAGTTAAACCCGGAGGCCTCCACCCCTGTTTAACGATGGACGATTTCTCTTCACAAAGATGGCCTCCTTTACTCCTCTCTCAAACCATCGTTCCTCTCTATCCAGGATGTGAACATCTTCATCCCTGAAAGAGTGACCGCTGGCCTGGAGATGAGTGTAGACCGCAGAGTCCTGGCCTGATGATGTTGATCTTCTGTGCTGGGCCATCCTTTTGGCCAGTGGCTGTTTAGTTTCCCCGATGTAAGACTGATCACAGCCCTCCTGACACTGAACAGCATACACAACATTGCTCTGTTTTTGCCGGGGGACTGGATCTTTGGGATGAACCAGTCTTTGCCGTAATGTATTTTGGGGTTTAAAAGCCACTGGGACGTTATGTTTAGA